GGTGACAAAAAACAAAATCGAATATCTGTTCCTCCACTCCTAAAACAGTACTAAAAAAAAAAATCAAACCCTTCAAATGGGAGATTCCAGACTATTTTTAAAAGCCAGCCGATAATTAAATATGACTATGGGTCATCTAGAAAAACAGCACAGCACTAATGACACTTAATATCCTTCAGGGCAGAGCTTCTGAAATGTCTCAGAAAAACAAGTCACTTAAATATATATATTCAAGATTTTATATATTTTATATGTTTTATTATAGACTTTTATATCATATAATATATGTAAATCTGTAATTAAATTCTATATTATATGAAATAATATATGTATATATATAAAATCTGTAAACCCTTTTTTAAAAATTAAGAATTCAGCTCATTTCTAATAAAATTTCAGATAATGGTACCAAATAATGTGTCCAGAAATACTTGTGACAACATTTAGATTACAGGTCTTACAACTAAAATGTTTCTTTTCTCCTCCTAAAATAATGAGATTGATATTCATATGTAGCCCAATAATCAATTTAAATATTGCCATGTCAGGACTTTTTTTTTTTTTCTTTCAATTTTTCATTATATTTAGCAGCTGGCCAAAGACATAATACTACTTCCTTCAGCATAATCTGACCAAAATATGAATTTAAATTTCAGAGTTGACCATGGCAGGGGGAAAGGTAAGAGAAAGGGCAAGGACAGAAGGTGGGGGAAGAGGGAAGGAGGAGCCCTCTGGGGGCAGAGACCTTCTCTGACTTGTTTATTGCTTTATCCCTAAGCACACAGCATCATGTCTGACACATATTAGGTGTAAACAGTCACCGTGTCAAGTCACTGAATACAATTCAACAAAATTGAGGGAAAATGGATTACCTTGTGTGTCTATTTAAAAGTTTGGTGTTTCTTGAGAGGAATAAAAAAGGGATTTGCTTGTTTCAATGTATCTCAAACCCATACGCAAATAGAACTGATACTGCACTACACATTTATAGTCAAAGACAATACTTTGTTTTTAAGAGGAGCAGCACACGCTGTAACTGCAAATGAATGACACACACAAAAAATGAGCCAGACAATGTTAAGCTCCAATGAAGAATTTTGGTAATTACAAGCTGTATTTTAAAAATCACCATCAAATATGTTTGTCTCCATTGTTTGTGATTCCTCTGAAGATTGAAAACATTCTCTTCCCTGCGGCTCCCCTCCCCCTGCCATTTTATCCTTTTCTACTGCTTACTACCACTTATGTCAAATTACTCGTGTGTGTGTGTGTGTGTGTGTGTGTGTGTACAGGAATGACAGAATTTGAATGTCTCTCCCCAAAAAATTTAAACATAAAATGAGCTCTAGGGCAGGAGAGGGATTGGTGTTGTTTTTTAATGGGTGGATCTTGAGGAGATCCAGGAATAGGGGCTATATAAATCAGAGACCAACAGGTGGCATTTGTTGTTTGTTTAGTAAACAGAAATTACTAAGTACCTACTAAGACAAGCACTGTGCTAAGTAGTGGCCATCAGGAAAAGTGAAAGACGTGCGAGTTTATTGACAGGTATGATAGGAAATTACAGTTCACTGAAAGGTAAATTATTGTTTTGAAACCTAAACCCCATAGCTAAATGGATCCAAGAATTTAACAAATACTTATACAGTTCTGTTGATGATCTTCCCCTTGAAATATTCTTTTACTAAGCTTCATAACACTATGTCTTCCTGAAATTGTTTTATGTCTTAGATTCCTTTGCAAGATTTTCATCCCTAGCCTGTTGTTTAAATGTTGGTGTTTCCTAGAGTTCTGGCCTAGGATTTCATTTCTTCTCATTCTAAATACTTCCCCTGCGAGTTCACATTTGCTATATGACTTTTAGTATCATTCCTATGATATGGACAACAGATATGGTGGCATCAAATTCTGCATGTTCAGATCAAATACCTTCTGTATCACATACATTACTACCTGGGCATTTCAAAATATCAAAAATTGAACTGATCAGTTTCCTCCTATATCACTGATGAGCAGAGCTATCTGTGAAGCTGCCAAATTGAGAAACCCAAGAATCATTCTTAACTCCTTTCTTTTTACTTCCTAACAACCAATCTCAAAGTTCCGTGGACTTTAAATTCTAAAACATACTAAGAAGTCACCCACTCCTCTTCATGCTCTCTGCTACCACCCAATCCAGGTCACCATCATCTGTTGCCAAGAGTCTCACAAATGTCTGTTTAATCAGTCTCCCTGGTTTCAGTCTTGCCTGGCTCTAATTATTTTTCACGTTACAGCCAGTTGTCTATTTAAAATGCAGATTTATCATATTGTTCTCTTATTTCAAACCCTTATCCAATTTCTCATATACTGAGGTAAAGTCCAAACCCTTCTATGAGGACCTTTAGATCTCTGTCTCCTTAAAAATTCTCATTTTGCTGCCCTTCTCTCAGATGCTACATTCCAACATACTGACCTTTCAGTTGCTTAAACATGAAATTGTGCTCTTACCCTAGGCCTTCCCCTATTCTTTCCATTACCTAAAACTTTTATCTTCACTGCAAACTTGCCTAGCTAACTCCTAGTTATCAGTCCAACATTGGCTTCCTTTGGGAAGCCTTCTTGGATGGCCTCCCCACTCCAGTTCAACCTACTTTCAACTGTACTTAATCCCCTTTTACTTCCAACAACCTACTCTTACCTATGACACATTAAGGACAGATGCTCTTATGATATGTTCCCACAGTCACTTACACTTTCCCTTTAATATAATTTTTGAGTATTTTATTATAAACACTGGTTTCATAGTCTTCACTAGTTGTGATATAGAGGGCAAGAAGCCATCCATATACACAGCTTGGCCTTTGTATCCCTAGCACCTAGTACAGTGGTGTGCAGAGAATTGGTGCTCAATAAGTGTTTGTTTAATAAGTAAATGGAGTACCTCATTTATAGGAAACTGTAAAGGGTTTAGAGCTAAATAAAACACCCCCTACCCCTGAGGAGAATAACATAAAATGCAGAATGTCTGTTATACATAATTATAACATGGTAATGAGTAAATAAAATTGACTTCAATTTGGATACATGAGGATTTGCTAACATTGTAAATTGGAATTAAATATTTAGTTCTCCCTTCTGGGATAATCTAATCCACACTGAACACTTCTGGAAGACAGTTTTATGATTTTCTATTACAGATGAGAAAATAGGCACAGCAAAGTTAATTGAGTTATCCAAGGTTACCTAGTGAATCAGAAACAGAGCCAGGTACTATTGTGTCATTGTAGGATTTCAGCCTAAATACTTGAATAGCATTCTCCAAACTATTATCTATGACATTCATACGTGAATATAGAAACTTGGGAATACAGGTGCTTCCCCAAGGATTTTCCTCTAGCCTTTAACATTATAGGCTTTCTGTGATAGACTTCTGTACTCTTGTACACCGAGAGTTCCTTCTTTATTCATAATAAAGTGTTATTATCAGGCACCAGTCACCACTACAAAGTGTCAACATTTAACTCTTCTGCTCTGGGACATTATATTGCACATTGTCCATCTATAAATGTCCATAGCTAGTTGGCTGGTATATTCTATTGCACTGGATGGCATTTCAGTGGAAAATGCTGCCAGTATTTAACAAACATCTGAGAAGTAACATAGGCTATTAAATTTAATGAGATTACTAGTTTCAACATTTGTACTGTTAAAGGAAAAACCAGTTGCGCTGACATTTCAAAAGGCTAGATATACATTCAATAAATATGTTTACATACTGCATGTTATTTTGGGAGCAATGGTAAATGCTACACATAACCCAATGCCTAAAAAAGACTTTCTCAATATACACATTTAATATACAAAGAGCTATGCTTTTTATAACAAGCATTGCTGATATGAGTTTCACAGAGATAGGCAGGGCAAGCATACACTTGAGATTCTTCCTAGCCCCAGACTGGACTAACCAATGCTCTTTGTTTTTTATACCTGAATGTAGTACAAGATGCTAAAATAATCTATTCTGTACAGAACTGCAGCTAACATGTACCACTTTTATTGGATGTATAAACTACGGTTCCTCTGCATTTTCAGATCAATTATACAATTTTCTCTTAATGGATATACCATCAAGTAGTAGAATCCTCAATCACAGAACATTTCCCTTGCTCTTTGGGCTTTACATGACCTGTCTTTCATTTGCCGAAAGCAAACATTTTTACCGTTGAGGCACTCAAACCAGCACATTACATCACTCTCTAGTCTTGCCTTGTAATTCCAGGTCCATGAAGATCTCTAAACGTCCAAAGTATTTACTGTTCTTAATCCCCAACATGACATTAAGTGAATTGGTTCTGTCATGGGAATATAACTGATTATGTTTCCCCTAATAAAGACAGACACTTGAGCTACCCATTTGTAAGTTAGCCCAATGTGAAAGGAAGAGAGAACTTCCATCAGATGCCAACTTAACATCCATTGCTCATATCATGAAAATGTCAATTAAAATTTGAGTGGAATCTTTCTAACACAATTTTCCAGCCCAAGAAATGTGAATAAACCAAATTGAATTGCCAGGCTGTACAAGGTAGTCTTAAGCTCTATTTATGTATTAATTGGTTGGTCACTGGTAGACGACACCCATGGGGTCAGAATACTTTTGACTTTTATTTGAAAATGTAGATTCCATGAATTCAACCTCAGTCATCAGTCCTGTTTTAAGGGAAATGACTGTGAGAGGATACTGCCTTCATTTCCTAATGCTGCAGTTCCTATTATGCTATACCAAGGAATAAAATTTCCTTTCAGAAGTAGCATAGATGCTGATTTGGCTTTCTGCTTTAGGTAAGTGCTTGCAGAGACTTCTAAAGGAAGCAAATTCCAGCTTTACAGTTCTGACATTGTACTTGTCATCCTATTTGCTGTACCAGTGTGAATGTGACAATAATAAAGGATAAAAGAGCAAAAAAACGAATGTTTTCATACCACGGATACTCGCCCTATTTAAAAATTTACTTTACCTGCAGAGATTCCATTTCTTCATCTTTTCGTTGGGTCTCTTCTAGTAGATCTATAATAAGAAAGTAAAATGCCCATCAAAATGCAATGTAAAAATGAGTTGCCTCTTATCATCAAATGCAATTCAGCCAGTAGCTTGTATAAACTGTTGCCTGAGAAGAGATTTTAATGTTTAAGTGTGAGAAGCAATGTAAAAGAAACACCCTCTGATCCCAACTGTTGACATATGGCAGAGTGTTGGAGCCTGCCAACTGTAAGCTAGCTGAGAAGCCCTGGAAGATCTCTCAGCTTTACCTGACATATCAAAGGATGATACCAAATCAAATAAAAATCTGTAATCAAACCAATACTTCAGGGATTTGGTCTCATGCTTATATAACTCAATGCAATACAAAATCTCCTTTAGAAAAAAAGAAAAGCCTTTTTCTTTTGAAAGAAAAATTAGAAACAAACGATTTTCCCTTAAAATAAGCTCCCAAGCCACATTCTGCCCCCAGAATCAATTTTTATCACCAAATTAAAACACCCCAGAATAATAGGTGTTATTAATGGAAGTAGAACATCGTTTCATCCCTAAAGTCTTATTAATTACCGTTTCACATTGACAGGGTGGGATGCTACATTGAAGCTACATTTGACTAAGAGTTTGGCACCATACCAGAGAAATAGTGGTTGGAAGGGAAGGTTATCAACTGAGGAGAGCTCTGTCTTAACGCATGTATACAGCCACAGTGTCTCAGTGCCCTACGTTAATTTATGAACTTGCTATTAAAAAAACATATTTTCTGCCTGCAGGTATACCTCCCTGTGCTATGATCTTATTAGATCTCATAAAACCAAAGAAGACTAGGCTGAGTCAGAACTTGCATGAAAACTGGTAAGAAACACCTACAGCAGTGTACATTAACATGAGTATTTGCCTTACTCTCTCATTGATATAGCTTACCAAGAGGCTATGTTACATAAAAGGAAAATGTAAGTTACAGAAGTCTAATATGTATCCCAGAAAGGCAAACTCAAATGTTGGAGTAAGTGCTATACTAGATACAGCAGAAAAAAGTCACATAGTGGGGTGGCAAAGTCATGCTGACATGTCGTAACTGGGAAGGTGATACATGAATATTTCAAGAGACCTGGCAGATGACAGAACTGACAGCGATGTCCCTTTGAGACTACACAGCTAAGAGGGTTACAGAGGAGTGGCAAGCAATCTCCTGGAGACACAACATGCTTGGATTAAGGATAAGAGATTGTTTCTATACTGCATGTTATAGAGGAACAGACTTTGGCTCCCAAAACCTCCCATAAACAGGTACATCAAAAAATAAAAAGAGCAGGCCAGTGTTTTAAGGTGTGTTTTTAAAGGGGTTTTGATTGGCATATCAGGTTCTTTAGCTATAAGATACAGAAACCAACTTGGGGTATGGAAGATTGTTTAAGTGATCTCAATCATTCCTCTTCCTGCATCTTCACTCATTTGCTTTGCAGCCTTGTAGCTACTTCTATCAAGAGGCCATGCACATGTACTTCACTTCTTGCATCTGGGCTGGCCTCCTGACTTGATTCAGTGAATAGAATATAGCTAAGGCTGAAGTCATCCTGTTGTAGTTTTTACCGAGGCTTTAAGAGGCCTCACACATTTCTACTTTTTTACTTGGAACCCTGTCACTGACATCTGAATAGGCCCAGGCCAATCTGCTAGATGACAATGAACACGTGGTCTAGGACTCTTCCCACCTCTGTCACCCTGCAAGGTGCCCCAGCTGCCAGCCAGCAAATGCCCAGAAGCAGAGTTGCCCCATCGATCTGAGGATGACTACAGATGACTGAGATGTGAATCCAACTGAGACCAGACAAATCACCCAGCTGAGCCCAGCGTCCACTCCAACTCACAGGGCTAGGAGCTAAATCAACGGAATCATGGAGTGGTTTGGTACCCAGGACTTGCCAACTGATAGCAATGAGTTGCTAATTGAATAATGTGTATTTAGAGTTTATTAGAAGGATACAGAGGTAACTAACGGATACATTGGAAAAGAGGATCCCAAATATGAAGGGAATAACAGTTAGGGCAGGTCTGCGTGGGTCAACATGTGGGCAGCATGAGCTGATGAGCATTTTATTCTGGACTCCTCTAATCTTTGTGTCATTCTACTCAAGATGAAACTTCGAAAAGAGAACAGCTATTGAGCCTAGCTTAGATCTCTTGCCCACTGCTTGGCTAGGGGAAAGTATGGAGTACTTTCATGGATAACCCCAAAAGGATTGGACTACGAATAGAAAGAATAGTTTCCAAATGCAAAATTAGGGTTCTGTAACAGGAGAAGGAAGGATGGACATCATACAGGCCAAAACAACAGATTTCTACACCAACTGTTTTCAGTAAACTGAGTCCTTAGCCCAACTCTCTTCAATATTTGTAAGATATAAGATCACTGCTGTGCTCCTATGAGGATGTGACTACTTAGCTCCATTACTGCTGGTTATTAGGGGATTTTCAGAGCTGGGCCCTTTGTAATGAATTGTGTTGTTTAATGGTGCAGTGGAACTGGGGTGATACATAGTGGGGTTTGTCAACCACAAAATAACACTAATCTTGTTCCTTTAGAGTCAAGTTAGTATGGCAACACCAAACAGCTTAGATACTGGATCAATAATGAGTATCAGATCTTTTCTGCAGCCAAACACAACTCACTCGCTTGATAAAATATAAATGGAAAGAAGTCCCGTCTACTCACAGAACTTCATAAAATTATAGCAACTTAAAAATTATGTTCTCAGTTTTTGTGAAATATATACAGGTCACACTACTCTTCCAACAAATCTGATGCCAATGACAATGCTTGATTTGGGATGGCTGAATAAAAACAACCAAAGAATTCCTAGAATTGGCATTTTAAATATATACATTTCAAATTTTAAATAAATATTCTCCCTGACTGACCATCTTGTATAAAGCGTATAAGCAGATACCTGTTTTTGTTTTGTTTTGTTTTGTTTTTACCCTTTGAAAACTCCTGTTCCTCTTTTCCACGTGATTTCCATGAAACTTTCGGTCAAGAGGCCTAACTAACCCTTCCTGCTGCAAAAGTAGGCCAAGACCCAGGCTAGCAAGTAAGAGCATCTTATTGCCCTGAGTATATGAGCTAAGCAACACCAGAGGTGTCCTTTTAGTGGATTAATAGGGATGCCAGGAAAGAGACTTTCTCCTTTGAAGCCACAGCTTATAGTGGCTTATTAGCTTATTAGCCTGGTGTTCAGAAGTCTGTATTTTCTACTGTGTTGAAGAAACTTATTCAGCAATGAGGCTGGTAAAGAAGAAATGAAAGCCAAGAAAAAGAGAGAGAACTGGCCAGGCGCAATGGCTCAAGCCTGTAATCCCAGCACTTTGGGAGGCCGAGGCGGGTGAATCACGAGGTCAAGAGATCGAGACCATCCTGGTCAACATGGTGAAACCCTGTCTCTACTAAAAATACAAAAAATTAGCTGGGCATGGTGGTGCGTGCCTGTAATCCCAGCTACTCAGGAGGCTGAGGCAGGAGAATTGCCTGAACCCAGGAGGCGGAGGTTGCGGTGAGCCGAGATCGCGCCATTGCACTCTAGCCTGGGTAACATGAGTGAAACTCCGCCTCAAAAACAAAAAAAAAAAAAAAAAGAGAGAGAGCTGCTAGAGGACTACACCCTTGACTGATGCCACAAACCTCCTTCTATTCTTTTTTTTTCTTAAATTAGCTTTAGTTGGATTATTGCCATTTTTTAAAGTCTCTTGGGATGTGGTTGTATTGAACCCTCTTATCTCTATTCAGAAACCTAGAGAACTTAAGAGTTGAGAAGAACTTTCTAGTCCACCTTAAAATGTTTTGTCCTATAACAAATATACGAAGACATGAGACTCAAAGAAATGCAAATGGTCTGGCTGAGTTCACCAGTCGCTTTTAGAGCTTTGCTCCCCTATCATCCTGCTCTGGCTAATCATGCTCTCATTTGTACCGCTCAATACTGACTTGCACCCTTCTTCATAATGTTACTTAAAAATAAAATACACACTTGTTTGTATTCTTCTGACCTGCTTTAAAAGTTCTCTGATGCCAAGTCACCAATCAGGGCAGCCATGACTTTCTTTTTTAGACAGGGTCTCACACAGATGCCCAGGCTGGAGTGCAGTGGCAGGATCTCGGCTCACTGCAACCTCCACCTCCTGGTTTCAAGTGACTCTCCTCCCTCAGTAGCTGGGATTATAGATGCCCACCACCATGCCCGGCTACTTTTTATATTCTTAGTAGAGAAGGAGTTTCACCATGTTGGACAGTTAGTCTTGAACTCCTAACCCCAAGTGATCTGCCCGCCTCAGCCTCCCAAAGTGCTAGGATTAGAGTCGTGAGCCACTGTGCCCAGCCAGTCCATAACTTTACATCCACGGTCTCCTTATCTACTGCCTTTCTATCTTTGATATTTAACTTAGAGCCCCAAAATTGCTCACTCCACCCACATCAGTGCTGTGTGCCACTGCTTGCTCATTAGGTGCATTTTTAAGCACATACATTTGCAATGATGAACGGGGTTATTAACCTGTGCTGAAGAAATATGGCTACTGGGCATCGTTGAGAAGCACCACTCTACTGCAAACAGAAAAAACCGTGTTTTCTTTTATTATTCTCTGGTTTGCTGTTTCATACAAATAGCAACACCATGCAAATTGCCGTGGTAAAATTTGCTTCCATCATCATTTGTTGATGAAAGATCTTTGGGGAAAAGGTTAGCAGCCTTGTGTATTTTCCTTGAAATGGTTCCAATTTTTTAAATGAGCTGATATTAACTCATTATGACATCAAACCATGAGAGGGAGAAAAATATAAAAAGCATATTAAAAAGCAGAACATTATGGATGAGGATGGGTGAATCCAGCTGTCCTGTCTTGTTTCCACTTTACGGTTCTCTGCCACACTTAGGGTTAATATATCACGACTATGTTTTTGGCTAAGATAGTTTCATATGTCTTCCTCTGCAGTCTTTGCAACCAGTGATCTGGCTGTTTAAGGAGGTTTGACAATT